ATGACTACCTTTCAATTTTTACCATTATTGGACTTCATTTAAAAGGTGGAATATTAATGTCATGGTTGGATGACTTGTAGAAACACTTACTTGTTTGTAGACGGGTTGAGTCTCGGCACAGACAATTCTTGTAAACTTTTAGAAAGGCATAGGAAACTATGTGCTTAATTCTTACAATTCACCTTTACCTTCCGATTAACTTGTCGTTGACATGGGATTTAATTGAGTTACCAAGCACAAGTATAATAAACCAGATGATTAACTACATGTTCAGATCCTCGAGCTAAAGGGTGACTGTTTATATTTGAATTTATCTTATATTTTGTTTAGAAAATTCTTGGAAAGAATCTTATATTCTATTTAGGAAATCCCATAACTTCAATTCTCAAGGTTTTCAGTTACTTGGTCTCTATCACTACTACTTCAAAACACTAATCATATTTCCCTGTGGATTCGACTCCGGACTTAACTGGATTATTACTACAACTTGACTGCCTACACTTGGATGTACACATATAGGATCAAGTCACATTACACCACCACCACGACAATTTAACAACACCACCAGGGACTTTGATAGTAGCCACACAATTGTGACAAACACCACACTGTTGAAGACTACGACAATAGCTGCACAGTCATATGATAACACCACACCGCCGTGGAGACCTAGGTTAATATTAGTATTTAGGATCGTAATGCTCTGATACCATATTAATTTGAGAGAATTAACACAATATTAGAGAGAAATAAAGAGTGGTCAAAACTTAACATACCTCTCACCAACCACTTGTATTTATAGTTAACTTGTAATCATACAAAAGATACATGTTCTCTAGTATTTACATATAATACCTGAATACTCTTAACAACCTTCTCTAATAAGGAATTGAGTAGAATTCAACATCCTTATGATGATCCATTAGTTGTGACTCTAACCATTGCCAATTACTTGGTGAAAAAGGTCTTGAAAGATAGTGAAAGCTCAACTAACATCATATTTACCCATGCCTTTGACAAATTAAACATAGACAGAGAAACGTTGGTGCTTATCATTGCTCAGAGAAAACATATTCCTTGGGAGCTATAGTCATCCCAGTAACAATTGGAAAAACACCTCATCAAACTACAATCATGATAAACTTTCTAGTTTTAGACTACCCTTTAGCTTACAACGTCATTCTAGGCTGACCAAGCCTCAATTCAATGAAGGAAGTTCCATCAGCATATCATCTTTTACTATGTTTCCCAACTAAGTCCGGAGTAGGTGAGGTACGAGGTGATCAAGTAGCAACCAAGGAGTGCTATGTTGCTTCTATGCTAAAAAAACAACAACAAGAGGCAGTGTAGATAGAATCACTGGACCATAGAGGTGATGGAGAATGCCCCCGACTAGTCGAGGACCTCAAGCCCATTGAAATTGGAGATTGGAGACCAACTAAAGTAGGTTACCTTTGTTGGAAAGATGCTCAGGAAGGCTCTCAAATCATTGCTTGTAGAATTCTTGCATTCCAACAAGGATGTTATTGCTTGGAAGCAGTCAGATATGATGGGAATCAATTTGTCTATTATGATACACAGGTTGAATGTCAACCCGAACTTCAAACCTGTTTGATAGAAGTGATGAAGCTTTGCTCCAAAATGAAATAGAGAAATTAAGAAAGAAGTACTTAAACTGCCTAAAGCCAACTCGATAAGGGAGGTACAATACCTAGAGTGGCTAGCCAACGTAATACTGGTAAAGAAAACCAGCGAAAAATGGCAGATGTGCATTGAATTTATAGATTTGAAAAAGGTGTGTCCAAAAAACTACTTCCCATTACCTAGAATTGACATTTTGGTTGATGCTACAGTAGGATACGAGATACTAACCTTCATGGATGCATTTTTTTGGCTATAATCAAATCATGATGCATGAATTTGACCAAGAGAAGTCCTCGTTCATCACAGAAGAAGTGACTTATTGCTATAATTTCTTGTCTTTCGATCTAAAGAATGCAAGAGCACATACCAAAGGAGGTCTATGTGGACGACATGCTCATCAAAAGCCTTCAAGCTATTGAATACATAGACCATCTAAGAGGAGCTTTTGAGATACTCAAAAGGTACAACATGAAGTTCAACTCTGCCAAATGTGCCTTTAAAGTCTTTTGAGGGAAGTTCTTCGGTTTTATTATGACCCTAAGGGGCATTGAAGCTAACCCTAAAAAGATCCAGGCATTCTGGATGTGAGATCCCCTCAGAACACCATGGAAATCCATGTGTTCACAGGGAGAGCAGCAACACTAAACAGGTTCATCTCTCAAGCTAGTGAGAAATCCTTGAATTTCTTTAAAACACTAAGTAATGCTTTCAAATGGAGCTCGGAGTGCAATTCTGATTTCAAAAATCTTAAAGAATGTATCAGCAAACCATCACTTGTTGTCAGGTCAGAACAAGAAGAGAAGTTGTACCTATATCTAGTTGTGACTCAAAAAGCAACTAGTGCAGACTTAGTGTGCCAAAGAAAATGAATTTAGCATTAGGTTTACTACGTAAGACGAACATTGGGGGGGGGCAGAATCAAAGTACCCAACAGTGGAGAATATAGCTTTTGCATTGATAACAACCTCTAGGAAGTTAAGACCTTACTTTCAAGTGCATACGATTGAGTTGAGAATAGATGTCCCCTTGCGGTAGATCCTTTAGAAGCTTGACTTGTCCGGATGACTAACCAAATGGTCAATCGAGCTAAGAGATTTTATTGTACAATATATTCCATGGATCGCTATGAAAGGACAAGTGGTAGCTGACCTAATTGCAGTATTTTTGAATGAGACACAAGAAACCCTAAAGAGGAAGATATATGTAGATGGGTCCTCCAATTCATCTGGGGGTAGGGCTGGTCTGATCCTCATCTCACAAAAGGAGGAGAATATTGAGTATTCCCTACGCTTTTGGTTCAAGGTCTCAAATAATGAAGCAGAATAGGAAGCCCTCATTGTAGGTCTAAGGTTAGCTAAGTCACTTAGATTAAAACACTTACGTGCTTACTATGATTGCTAGTAGTAAGAAAATTGCAAGGGGAGTATGAGGTTAGGGAGGTCCGAATAAGCTCTTACTTAACTATTATAAAGAAAAGGGTACAAGAGCTTGAGCATTTTGAGATCATCCAGATATCCCAGTTATAGAACTCCAATCCGGACTCTTTAGCATGATTATCTTCAACTATGTTTGATGACATAGGAAGGAACATCTCTATGGAATTTTCACAACAACTAAGCACACAGGGCCTAGATGTCCAACCAATTGCACTAGAGACAAGCTAGATTGATGAAATATTCACATATATGCCGCATGGAACTATCCCCAGATATTTAGATGGTAAGAAACTCCTAGGAGGGTGGGTAGGTACACAATACTCAATCAGGTTCTCTAAAAGAGAGGGTATTCGCTTCCATGATTAAGGTGTGTAGCCCCTAGTGAGGCAGCATATGTGCTTGAAGAGGTACATGAAGGGGTTTGTGGAAACCATTTAGGAGGACATGCTCTAGCACAAAAAGTGCTTAGGCAAGGGTATTTTTGGTTCAAAATGAAGAAAGACGCACAAAGCCATGTGAGAAAGTGTGAAAAATACCAAAAATTTGCCTTTGTCCTAAAGCAGCATACCACTGAGCTCATCCTAATAACAAGCCTATGACCATTTTCCCAGTGGAGAATTGATGTTATGGGACCCCTCCCAATGGAGAAAAGGCAGAATATGTTCACAATTGAAGCCATAGACTACTTCACTAAGTGGTGTGAGGTAGAGCCCCAGACGACAATCACTAAGCAAAAAATCAAAGGATTTATATGTAAGTAGATCATGTGAAGATTTGGCATCCCAAGAGTTATCATTAGTGAGAGTGGAAAATAATTTGATAACAACTGGTCTAGAAGGTTTTGCTATGAGCTTGGAATCCACAACTATTATTCATCTCCAGGTAACCCACAAGGCAATGGGTAGGTTGAGGTAACAATTTGAACTCTCCTCAAAAGTATCAAGACTAGGCTTGATCAATCTAAAGGATTATGGGTAGAGAAATTCCCAAGTATCTTATGGGCCTACATAATCATTGTTATAACCCCTACAAGAAAAACTCCATTCTCCTTGGTGTTCAAAACAGAAGAAGTAATCCTAGAGTAGATCAGTCTAGGAATGTACAGAACAAAGGAATTTGACCTAGCTCGTAACAACCATCAGCTAGCCTGTAATTTGGATTTGTTAGAAGAGAAGAAAAAAGAATCACAAGTAAGGTTGGCAGGATATTAGCATAGGATGGCAAGGTACCATAACTCTAGGGTAAGACCACATACTTTTCTCCTAAATGACTTGGTTTTAAGAAAAATGATCCCAACTACAAATGAAGCTAGGGAAGGGATGTTAGGAGTAACATGGTAAGGACTATACCAACTCATAAAAGATCGAAGACCAGAGACTTATCACCTGGTGACCTTTGAAAGAGTCAAGTTACCTCAGACATGGAACACTGAACATTTGAAGAGTTTCTATTAGTAACTTTTCTTTTCCATTGATTGTAATAGACTTTCTCTATAGCCTTTTAGCTTGCATCAATAAATGTGCTATTTTCTATGTAGAAAAACCTTAAGTCTCAGATCCTATTTTGAGCTACATCCACACTTGACTGCTTAATATAGGGAGAAACCGTCAATCCTAGCTCGAGTTGAATCCCTTGGGTTCATTAGGAGCTTAAGGCATTAAGCATAGCTCAGATTAAACCCAAGGGGTTCATTGGAAGTTGAATGCATCAAGCCTCACTCGAATTGAACCCCAGGGGTTCATTAGAGATTAAGGCTCCCCATCTAACTTGGGTAAAACTTGAAAGGCTCATGAGAAGTTTAGAAATAGTAGAGTTATCTGCAACAAAGATAGGAGGAGGAAGACATAACTTGCTGTAATAAGAAGGCTCACCTGGTTAATCTGCCTCATCACCAACATCCTCTTTCTGCTCTTCTTGTTTCTAATTAGCCAAGGGAGGATCGTCCTTGGATAGGATTTTAGAGAAATCAAGCTCCGGGAATGCATGAGCGACTTGAGCCTTGAAGTCCTCAAAACCACTGTCATAATACTCCAGATTGTAATTCTAAATATCAAGAGAATCATTGAAATCCTTTACAGCTACACTAGTAGCAGCTTTGATAGCATTAGCAAGCTCGGACACTTTCTCTTTCAAGACATCGGAGAGCTTAGACTTTTTCTTGTTCAAAGCAGTGGAGAGATCAAAAAATTTAAGGGAAAATGCCTTGTTCTCCTCTACCATCTTCTCCACTTGAGAAGAGAGCTCAGAAGAAGAACTTTCAGAGGTAGCAAGCTTGAACTCTAGCTCTTTCTTACTGTCCAAAAACAGAATCCTCTCCTCGGTCATCGCATTCAAACAAGTTAAATGTCCCTTTCTCCTTTAATTCTCAAAAACCCTCTCCTGGGAAGCCATTAGGCTCTTCTGTAGCTTTCCATCTTCTCCACTAGACAAAGGAAATCTTTCTCATAAGATTCCTTCTTTGTGAAAGATGAATAAGAAACACTTGTAACAAGAATAGCCAACTGTATAAAGAAAACCCGAGTATACTATCCACGAGTGGATACATAGAGCAACAGAAAGTGAAAGAAAGGAACCAAAAAAAGTCAAACCTTTTTGATAGTCTTCTGGAGAGCCGGCATATCCCAATTAGAACCAATTTTGATGGTAGACTAAATCTCGCTATTATCAACAAATTTAAGGGAATAAGGTGCTCCTCTTTATATGCGCTCGTAAGGTCCAGACCTATATCCTTGGCAACCTTGTCACTTAGTGAAGCAATTAGAAGCATTGGAAACGTACTAGATGGTGTCTTGTAGCTCTGTAGGATCACTGGAGGTGCTGGAGGGGAAGAAATAGATGTCTTTGTCTTTGGAAAAGGCATACTAGGCTTCTTGTGACGGGAACACCCACTTGCTGGATCCTGGACGCTTTAATCTCTTTTAGAAGCTTTTTATCAATGACCTTGGGATCCATTTCTATGAATTACATAATTTGGAAGTTGGTATTTAAAAAAGAAAGAGAAAAAAGGAAATCAAAGCACGACTTACTGCTCGGTGGAGAAGGGCTAGGTGTAAAAGGCACAACAACAGATTTGGGGGCAAGATCTAGTTGTCACCCAAAAAATGCATGATTGGTGACCAAGTGCTTAAATAGTTTTTCCTAATCTCAAAACACGAGCTAGAATGTTTGTATATCAATTATACGAGTAGGTGAGTGTCACTCTCCCTCGGGTTCGATGCAAGAAATGGAGAAAATTGTGTGTGTGAATAAAAATGTGTGTATGTGGAAAAGTGCTCCCCAAACAAAGAGAGACTTGCAATGCCATGTTTTACTTGGAATTGAGTATTCCAAGGTCATCTCCTCAGGGAAGGTAGGTCAAATTGTTGTGAAAGGTGATTTGTAAAGAAATGAAAATGAGAAAATCTTTTGAATTGTGTTTTGGTGAGTGGTGTTTTGATAAAAATGCAAGAAAACAAGGTTGGCTAATTCAAAGAGATTATTCCAATGGAAATGCCAAATCAATTCAATTCACTCAACCAATGGTGTCTCGGTGTTTGACTGATTCATAGGAAATGAGGGACTAATGTGGAGGTATAGGCACAAGCATACCCTGTGATAAGTCTATGGTATATCAAGAGCTCACAACCACATCCGCACTCAACCTAATCAAACCAAACACTTTACACTACGAGGAAGAATGGAAGAGAGTTGATTTTACATACCCAAGAGGAAATTACCCTTGCATTAGCCAACTAAAAGTCTAGCAACTCATAGTCAAAACAAGAACAAGCATAATGTAGTGACACATAGCAGTGAAATAAAGCATAAGACTTGTATTGATGCAAGAAAATTTTAGACTACAAGACAATTTCATTCATACCCAAAACATCAAGATTTAATAACAAATACCCAAATAAAGAAATGTAAAATGCTAAAACACTTAACAAAGCTTGATTACAACTTAAATAAAAGATTTTAGAGTGAATGAGGGAAGGATTACAAGTAATTGAAAGCTTAATACAATGAAAATCGTAAAGGAAATTTAAAAATCCAACTTTCTCTCTTTAAAACTTCATCTTTGTCCTAGGACTTTCTCTCTCTAAAAGCATATGGAAAAACTCAATTATTCTGTAAAGCTTGGTCCAAATTCTTCCATACCCTTTCCATGATCTGTGAGAATTGACTTCCAATGAGTGGGAAGGGATTAGACACTTTAACAAGCAAGGACAAGCTAAGCATGCACCTCCCATGCTTCACCACCTACCCCTCTTCTCTCTCATAGCTCTCCCATGCTTTCTCTTCCAAAATTAGACTTTAGGGTGTAAGAGACCATCATGGTGTGTCAAAGATGTTAGGGCATGTGTAGGATGACAAGAGGTGGGCCCTCGAAGTAGGTGGAGTTGTGTCTATAGGCTTCTGGCATTTCTAGGCAAAACCTATAGGTAGAACGTCAAAAACCTACCGGTAGGTTTTGCCCAGAAAGCAAAATCTGCGAGTAGGTTTTTGGCAAGTGCTACGGTAAAAGAATTCTAGTGCACTTTTCCTACCTGTAGGTTTTGGAACTTCTATCTATAGGTTTTTGCTAATTTCTACTGACAGGTTTTCTCCTATTTTGAAATTTTCTTAGTCTCTTGATGTCCCGAGCCATCCGTTAAGCCTTCCCTTGTTTTCCATTCCTTTTAAGCACTTGATGGAAGGCTTAATACATGCCCTTACATGCTCTTTACCTACAATCACACGAATCTCCATTAAATGTGAGTTTAAAAGCATTTCTCCTAATTTTCACCACAAAAGCAAGTATAAATGGGTGCAAAGGAGATACATGATATGCATTATTCTATGCTCATCACACCCCCCAACTTGAGTTTTGCTAGTCCCTAGCAAACTTTATTTCCAAACCACATTGCATAAAAATAAATAATCCACTCATGTAAGACAATAAACCAAGCAACAAAATACTCAAATCATAATGTAGTTAAGTAAATGAACTTGGGCAAAATGGAACAAGTCAAATGTGGTTCTTTCATTAATTAATCTAAAAATTTCATTAAAAATATTTGAAATAAAAAAAAGGATGGCCTATAATCCTAGAGACTCTTGTACTAGGCTGAAATCCCTAAATCCTATGTGCAACTATCGAAAACAATAACACCAAAATGATCTCCCTACTCCTCATCATCAACTCCCGACCTTTTCATCATCGTCCTCCTCGTAGTCATAACTCTCCTTATCACCTGTTTCCTCCACATTAGACCCTTCCACCTCTATAATAGTAGAGCCCATGAGGGCAGAGTTGGATGGTCTGACAGTAAAAGGTGGAGGCACCTCGGGGATAGGCTCTCCAGGGAAGGTGTGCTCGAACATCTGGGTCATTATCAGGTGAGCAGCTGCATGGTCCCACTGAGGTCATCCAGACTCCACTCTAATGCGTTTAGGCTCTAAGAAATTGTGTGAGGTGGGGCAGTGGTGGATGGCTCAGCCATAGATGTACTGTGGATGGCTCGGCTCTAGGTGCCCTAGCCCTCTCTTTTCTTTGGCTCGCCATCCGTTCATCACCGACCTCTTCATACTACTCGACTTGCCAATGGATCTGAACTTCGAAGGGAGGGTTACATTTGCAGGGGTGCCCTTAACCTTGCAGTGGAGGCATATTCTGGTAATAAGGTTGGCAAATGAGAGATTCACCTTTGGCTTACTAGCTTGGGCGTACTCCTTCATGACCTCCTAGATCATAAGGGCAATGTCCATCCTCTTCCCTGTCATGAAGGCATGAAGAAGGGATAAATTCTCTTCCCCTCAAGGTCGCAAGTTGCAATGCAACACTTTATTCATCACCTCATATGAATGTTTGAGTGCCCCGACTTGAATTTTTCCTTTGAATTGTGTTGGGTCCTCATACATCAAATGAACGTATTGATAAGATTCACATACTTTATAAGATTGTGATTTTTTCCTTTGGATGTTTTGTGGGTAGAACAGGGTATTGGGAAGAGGTTCTCATACTTTATAAGCTTCACAATCAATCCCAGGGTAATCTCCATGTTCTTACCCCTCATATTTGTCTTAAGCAACAACAAATACTCGTCCACTACCTTCGATAGTTGGTAGAACTCCCTACACATAGGAAGGACGTACCCACTCACAGGCTCAAACCAAATGTCAATGTCGTCGCCCTTAATCACCCATACCACTTTGTCATTTGGCCCGAGGGTCGGTTTGTCCACACGACGCTTGCATATCACACTATTCTCCTCAATGCTCTTTGTGCAAGCATCATTCTTTCATTTCTTTCTTCTCTCCTCACCCCTATCACTAGGCCCCGCCACCTTCCTCTTACGGGATCCCATTCCCATAGATGGTGGAGGACTTGGCCCCATTGCTTGGTTTGGGCTATAAAGAGCAAAAACGCCAGTAGGGCAACCAATGACAAAGCCCAACACCATAATTCATCAACTAAGTCCAATGAGATGCTAGAATACCTTCCCAATCGAGCCATGACATTGGATTCCAAGCCCTTGGTGAGAAATTAAGCTTTTGATGGATTTAGGGGATATTGTGAGAAAAGACGGGTTTTGTGAGAGAATTTGGATGAAAATGCAAATAATCACAGTGAAATTCAACCTTAGGAAGTTTAATTGGGGGATTTTATGACTGGGTAGGGTTTCTTTGAGGATTGGAGAGGTTTTGAGAGAGGAGAGTGTTTCTAAGATGGTGAGGAGTGGAGAGCATGAAGGTTTTTGCCGAAAAGTCAGAACTTAAACCCTCATTTTTTTGAATTTTGGGCGAAACCTATCAGGTAGAATGATCAAAGCCTATAGGTAGGTTTTGTGCTCTAGAAAATTTCTACTAGTTGGTTTTAGACTTTTTTAAAAAATTCCCTGTGTTCTTGTTTTCATCTCCACTCCAAATTTATTCAACTCCTACACATTCTATCAACCTATGTACAACCTCCACTCCACCAAAACCCCGAATCATGTTTGTGAACCACAAATGAGTGACCATGCCCAACTTTATTTACGCAATTGTAATGCGCTTTATGTTTTTGATGCTTTCAAAACACATGACATGGAATTCTAAATTCAACAAACAAAATGAATACCCAACATATAAAGCACAAATTAAAATATAAAAGGCATTCCTATTCATTCTTAATATCTAAAGTTTGAGCAATATTCCCCTATCCTACAAGCACAGGGCTACTCAATAAAATTTCTCAAACCCCAAGCTAAGCACACATGAGCTTCACCATGGCTTTAAATATTATTCTAGAGTATACACCTACACATTTGTTTTCAAACTCGTGTGTGTGAAATGCACATGTAATTTAAGCATTTACTCAACAAAGTTCACATTTAGTTAGCTATCCAAATTCAGCTTCAATGCAAAAAATACCAAGGGTTTCTCAAAATTGAATAACTCTATGATTATCCCGACATGCTCTCCATGAGTATATGTGAGATAGAATCTTATGCATAAATCAAAATGCACACATATAATCCAAAAATCATGAACGGAATGTTAGGGCATTAGATAGCAAAATCAACTTTTCTTTTTCATTAAAAGTATGCTTTCACCATGCTTTCTCTAGATCATTTAGGGCTTTCAAAGGTTTTAATGAGGCCTTGGGGTGATACTTGGGCTAAGTGAAATGAACGGTCGAGGGAGACAAAAAGGGTTATTCTTAGGGCATTGACCTTTATTATCAAAAATCTCCTTTTTGTGAAATTTTCAACTTTACACCTTCACCTCACTTTTTTTTTTCTCTTTTTCTTCTTCTCTTTTCTTTTCTTTTTCAGCCCCCTTTTTCTCCTTTTTCTTGGATTTTTCTCTTCTTTTTCATTCAAATTTTGAATTTAGCACCATTCATCCCTTTATTGGGTT